AGCAAAATGCAAAAGGCCCACTAACAAGGGCTACAACTTTGATGTCACAGTATGCCACTGGGATACATTGGATTTGTAGTCCGCCTCCCAAGTGCACAAATTGAGACTTTTCGGACTTTATCCGGGCTATCCGACAACGTAAGTCTTATACTTGTACAAAAGGGTTTGTTGAGTTTTCCTACTTAAGATCTTCGTGTAGGTCAAAATTTATATCGCCTTAATTTGGACACATTTACATACCTGTCAACCTCGGGTAATAGCTCCCCTTATAAATGATTACGATTCCCCTTACAAAGCAACAAAAACCCGTACAACGGCTTACCGCGCATGCGCTCATCGTGCTTTATCAATCCGACCGTACGCAGCGATGAAAAAAAATAATACGATTGAAGATTACTTTTGCTGGTTTGCCGTGACAATAGTAGCGATAGACGACGGCATTGTCGTTGGCTACCAGCAGGTGAGACGATCTGGATTTGAGCCAAAATGGTCGTTGTGAGATCGGTTCACAATTGTTTTTTTTTCCCTGTATAAAGGTTGTAATACGCCGTACATGATTTGAAATGATAGAAAAAACGTATAAAATACGGGGAAAACGTCCAAGTTGACAAGTATGCATTTAAGACAATGGCTTTGCTGGAACTGTAAAGCAATTATATTCTTATGCCCTTTTCCCCACTGCTACATTTCCAAATTCAGTGAGGTGGATTACAACAAAGACATCGCAATGCTGTTTTTATACAGATAGCGTTGACACGTCGTACTGTACGATTCAAGGTTCAACTTTATTGTCAAATATGCATACATTGACATGTAGCATGGATGAAATTTATTTCTCTCAATCCTCAGCAAACAGTGAAAGACAATGTAGTCTAAAACAGTATAAACATATAGACGATATATACAATAAAAGACGATATATACAATAAAAGCAGCATAAAACAATGGCACTTGAGGCTATTGAGGATAAAAGTGACGTAGTGCATTGTGCAATATGCAATATGCAGATGACGGATAATGAGGGGAGGGTCATAGTCTGTGACAGGAGGCAGGGGTCGGGCAGAGGCAGAGGGTGGGGAGTTTGGGCAGAGCACGGAGGGAGTTGAGTCTCCTGACCGCCTGGTGGAAGAAACTGTCTTTGAGCCTGCTGGTTCTGGCACGGAGACTTTGCAATCTCCTTCCCGACGGCAGCAGGCTGAAGAGGCTGTGGGATGGGTGTGTGGGGTCGCCTGCGATCCGGATGGCATGGCGGGTCAGCCGGGAGTAGTAAATGTCCACGAGTGGGGGCAGAGAGACACCAATGATCTTCTCAGCTGTTCTCACGGTGCGCTGCAAGGTCTTTTGGCAGGACACAGTGCAAGCACCATACCACACAGTGATACAGCTGGACAGGATGCTCTCAATGGTGCCTGTATAAAATGTCTGCATGATGGGGGGCGGGAAAAGCATTGTATATTATATATGCATCGTAAGCAATGTATCAGGTTTTATACATTTTAAATAGAAGCTGATTTCTGTTGTCTTCTCCACATTCAGGTGGAGATTGTTGTCCTTACACCACAAGGCTAGCCTGCTCACCTCACTCCTGTAGCTTGTCTCATCGTCGTTGTTGATGAGACCCACTACAGTCGTGTCATCCGCAAACTTAATTTCTGTCCGTTGAAATGGTTGAATGCCGAACTACACTGTATTGCTTCATGGAAACATGGGTTATTTGGGTTCAGCAACTGTTGTTTAGGAAACCAGTACATGAAATACTGTATGTCAGAAACTATCCAGTTTAATACATTCTGGTCATCTGTGAACACGCATTTCTAATTAATATTTGTTAGACATTTACAGTATGTTCTGTAACGTGTGTTAACAGTGCACGATGTCACTAATCTGTGGTTACAGGTGGAAAAGATATCTTGTTTCGTTTTTATGTGTAAACCAGCAAGTGAATCTTGTGATTCACACCTTTTAAGAGTCTCTTATATCCTGTTTTGGTACTGCACTTGAGACAATATTGCCATTACACAGTCAATTGAGTTCTTTATGTGCTCTCAGTTGAGAAAGACATATGGATACTTTTGCAGCTTGTGTGTGTGTGTGTGTGTGTGTGTGTGTGTGTGTGTGTGTGTGTGTGTGTGTGTGTGCGTGTGCGTGCGTGCGTGCGTGCGCGCGCGCCCAAGTGAGTGGTGTTACTCCTCTCTCCACACTGCAGTGCCACCTCTCATGGGCCGCTTCTGAGTCATTGTCCTTTCCGCATGTGCCACTTCTCATTCCTGTACCCAGTTATTCTTCCTTTACAGTGCATTCTCTTTTCCATGGAATCATAATGCACATTGTGATGGCAGTACTGTACATTGTATGCTTAAGAATTGTTAGTGTTCTATTTCCACACTGTGTGAAACTGTTTTGGGGCAAATGTGTGACAGTTGACACACCATTTACGAGATTTAGTCTCTGACATCTTATGCAGCATGGTGTATCGTTTCCTGTAACATTCAAAATGTCAGAGAGGAAAAAACGTTCCTAATTAATCCTCCCTTAAAGTAAAGCCGCGTACAAACACTTTTCATCTTGTGCTGTCACAGTGCTGAGCTGTAATACTTTTATTGTAAAATGACACGCTAATTCGACAGTAGATTTCTTTGGTGACTTAAGAAGCACTAAATGGCTGCAGTCTAAACAGTTCTACATGTTAAATCTTCTCATATTCTCTCAAAACTCATGCACTTCATCGAGGAATATGGGCATTTGATTACTCCAATTAAAAAAAAAATCTATTCTATTTGAGTTAGTATATATCAGTATATTTCCAGTTATATAATGTGAATTTCTGGGTGTCTCCTCAGGAGATATCCTGCCAGACTTGATTCAGTGCATCAATTGTCCTGGACATTTTTTGGTGTGGTGTGGCTGTGTTTGAATCAACAATAGATGCTTGATGACGGTCTCAGAGTTTCTTGATTGGATATGGGAAACGAACCAACCAGTTATTCGCGTCAAAGTGATAATCATCCCCACCGCTACTCCTCCTGTGAGCCTTGCAACTTCAACATAGATCAAAACTCCACATCAACAAGTCATCATTCAGCAGAGACAATGTGTGACAGAAGTTGGGTAGGAATGACCCCACAGACGTTAATACATACACACTCATATGGACGCAATTTGATACATAACCTTTGTACAAAGTCTTCGAGATCTGTTGTTTTGTTTTTAATTCGCTGTGTGCTGAGATTTTTTTTCCAGATCCTACACTGTGCCCCCCCACCCCCTTCCCGCCACATGAACATAGTTTGAGAGTTGCTTTTTTCCTCTTCTCTCACCCTGTTTTTTCCATTACTTATCTAAGAAATCAGGGAACCATCTGGTATACCATCAGCTTCCTATTTTTGTCTCCCCCTGTTAGGTGTCACTGTCTTGTCGTGTTTTTTTGGATGGGTTAACACTGGAAAATGAAATTTGTTGCTCTGTACCTTTTTAACATTTGCAATTACAATAAAATTGAATTCCCATTTCCATCCAAGAACGTCAATTCATTCAGAGGAGGCTGGGCATTACATTGGACCAGAAGGAAAACAAGACCCACAACATCAACATATGATCTGATAATGGGTGTGACGATCTCATGCCAGTAGTCAAGGTCGGCATACCACTGGTTAATAGTTGGAAGTCTGTTCACAAGAATACTCTTTCAAAGTCTGTCATTGACCCACCACTAAAGTGATCAAGCCCACCACAAAACCGGTCAAAGATATAACAGGAATCAGGATCTTCTCCACATGTCTCCCTCTGTCTCACATCAGAAACTTAATGTGAGCATACTATCATATGTGAAGAAAACAGGACCCAAATCTTCAAATCCTTGTGTTCTAGATCAGGGGTCCCCAACCGCCGGTCCGCGGACCGGTACCGGTCCGCCGGGCATTTGGTACCGGGCCGCACAGAAAGAACTTGTCTTAATTTCGTTTTATTTATTTCGGAATACGAAAGATGTTTTATTTTGAAAAACTACCGGATTCTCCGTTACATCCGTCTGTGTTACGCTTGACACACGTCAAGCCACGCTTCTCCTTCACGTGACCGATTACTTCAAAACAAAACGCGGGAGCTCGCAAAAAGAGTAAAAAAAAAAAAAAAAAAAACTGCTGGAGATCGCAAATGACGGCGGCCTTAAAAGTACGTTCGAGACAACTGGATTAAAGTTATGGCTGAATACTCTGAGATGGCCACAATAGCACTGTTGCTATTTCCGACATCCTACCTGTGTGAGGCGGGGGGTTTCTGCAGCAACGGCAACGAAAACAAAATTACGAAGTAGACTGGACATAAACCACACACTTGAGGTGTCATTGTCTCCTATTACCCCGAGATGGGACCGTCTGGTTGCAGAAAATTAAGCTCGGTGCTGTGGTGAGTCGTCATTTTCATGCACTTTGAATTTGCGTTGTATCGTATTTTGAAGGCATTAAACATTGCTATAGCGAACGGAGTGTTGCGGCCAGATTAGACGCTCCTTGTGTTTATTATTATATTTCGAAAACGCCACAGTTTTCATGCAGCTCATACCAAATTATTTTGTTGTATTATTTCCGCCACACCTTAATTGCCGGTCCCTGAAAATATTGTCTGACATAAACCGGTCCGTGGGGCAAAAAAGGTTGGGGGCCCCTGTTCTAGATGGCAAAGGTCAGTCTGGCAGTACTCTGCTGGGCTGTGAGATGCCAAGCTCTCATGGAGTCTCTTTGTGAAGATTTAATATTACAAAATATTTCTCCTCATCGTCCATCAACAGGTATATTGTCAATTTGTAAGATGATATATTTTGTGCAGTTTTATTTAAGTGTTGGACATATTCTGTACATCCCTGATTCCCCATGCACAAGGCTCTTAGTAGAGTATGTGTACCCCCAAACAGTAATAATTTTCAATTTGTCACTGCACTGTGTTGTAGAACTATAATAGTCTGGGAAACCATTCCCCCACCCATCTGATCTGCCTTCTCGTTATCCTCTCTCGATCACTTGACGGAGTGCAGACGGTGTGAGAGCGTCCCCTTTTCTCACTGCCTGCACCAGCAGATTGAGTGACCGAGTAGAGCTGGAGGTGAGAAAGGCAGCGAACGGGAGAGGAGAGGACGGTCTCGACTCAGTCGGGACTGATATTGTGCGCAGTGACGTGCTTTCAACATGCCTCTGAAGACTACCAGACGGCCTGGGATTGCTGTGCTCATCTTCTCCTTGCTTCTCAGCTCCCATGGGACAGGTGAGCAGTCCTTATAGTTTCCACCTGAAGGGTGTTTTGAAATAATTTACTCTGTAGTGTGCTACATTTTTTAAAAGTATATGTAGAAAAAAACAGATCAATTTAAGGAACTTGAAATGTTGAAATGCTTATATTAAAACTGTTTAAATACAACATCTGATTTTTTTTTTCTCCTGTGTTTTCAAGAATCTCCAAGCTATGATTTGGCATGCTCTATATTTCTCTTGTCTGCAACATGTGAGCTAACTATGAAACAGATTCATCAAAATCAACCCGAGGCAAATCTAAATAGGGACAAAACAAAGATTCAAATCAAGGTCAATGCATTCTGCAAATTGTTTATATTTTAAATGATTTCGAACATGTTATGCATTTTGAAAAAAAACCTGATGGATCGTGAAACAACGATGAAGTAGCATTGCAGAGTTATAATGAAGTGCATACCTATACACTTAATATGTAATTTGCAGAGACGATGGGGCTGCTCAGTGCAGTGAAATCAAGAGTTTTTACTCAATCGTGTTTTAGTTCGAGCTTTACCTACATGGTTTGGGAAGAAAATAATATATACAGTATTAATAATATAGTCTTCTTATGGAAATGTATTCAGTCACATCAAACATTGTCTGTGTTTATCTAGATTGTGAGCTTGAAATGTGTTTTTTGAGAGGAGTGGTGGACTGATGAGAGGTCTGTAAGCATGAACACGTGTTGGGCTTAATCAACTCAACTGATTGTTTGGGAAGCCTAACAGAAAAGAAAGCAAGGGAATAACAGATATTGACTGACATTGACTCAAATTTACATAAAAATGTCGATTTTCTGTTGTTGGAACACAAAATCTTTCATTTCACATGTAGCAATAGGTGTTTGTCTTTGTCACAGTCAGCATTCTCAGAGATTTGTTCTCTCTTTCACGTCAGACATAACAGCACCTTGACTAGTGGCCGTTCGTTATCTCAAAAAAAAATCAAAATAAATAAATACTGCCGCCCAAGTCCCATCCCACACATAACGAAATCAAAATTTGTTTAAAATTTAGACGCCAACCGTCTGAAAATTTCAATTATATCCTAATGTAGTCCATCAATTTATATACACACCAAAATATTGGAATTGACCAACCTTGGATCATGAACGCTACATTTTGAGATGATAATTAAACAATAAAGCTATATTTCTGGTGAACTGATAGTGATTTTAAAATGTGCATGCATTGTGTGATGCCACTGCAAGCTTTGTGAAAAGTGAGTGGAACACAGAAAAACTCAAAAATATCACTTTGTAATTTAAAACCATGATGGCTTGGATGTTAGGGACAGCAAAAACCGATGGCTGTGACAAAATGTTCCTCTTCCATTATATTTCCCAGTGTTGAATCTATCTAACACTCACAGGTTTTCTGTTCTGATAAAAATGTTTCTGTAGTTTTATATTGCTTCTGGAAAAAAGGGCAATTGTCACTTGTCATTGGAGTGAGGACATCCCGCATTAAACAGAGCCTGGGCTCTATTTTCGTAGACAGTGCATGTGGAAATGTTGGCGTTTCTTGATTTTCGTGCAGGTGCAACCCTCAGTGTGCCTGTTTGGGAATTTGGCAGACTGCTCTGTGCCAAGCTGGGCGACCTGGCATTGCAAAGGTGTGTCCTTGGACATGCATCTGTCGCATTTGACAGTTTCGTGGCAGAAAGCCATCTAAACGCCTGTCCGAACATTGTCCAAGTCAGATGCAGTCAGAACGCTTGTCAGATTCTGAGCAATGTACTGTATTTTATTAATAACTATGACAACAGCAGGCATGAAGGCCTCAGAATCATCGGAGAAATAAATTATTTAAACACATTATTTTTATTATTATTATTGTAGTTTTTAAATCATCCCAATGGACTTGGAGGCACATGAACTATCAGGGGTGGGGATAGATATTCAGCATAAGGTGTCGTTGACATCTTTAAGTCACCAGTGGTGATTGCCAGCTCACTCAGTATTTAATGAGTGTACCTACTTACACTGTCTATTGCCACAGTGGCCAAGCACAGTGATGATGCTCCGGTCACACATGGATCACTTAGTCCATTTCTGTACAGAGATGTGAGTGTGCCACATTTAAAGAGAATGAGGGTAGTTGCATGGATTGGCTGAGAATTAAGTCACCTGTGTTCACACCCACAGCGGCCAAAAACATTCTCTTTTAAATGCACCTCCTGGAGGTAAATTAGCAAGACTTGTTAAAACATGCCTCCGGACAGAGTTGGATGATACTCTGTGTCCAACGTGTCACTTGTTGTGATGATGACTTTTGGTCTTTTCCCCAGAAATGTGTTTTTTTCAAAGCCACATGAAATGCCTATACCGTGTACAGTCTAAATAAGCAAATAATTAATTTTGACATTGGACTGTGAGAACGTAGCATGTATGAAAGCAATTAGTTTTCTAAAAATAAAAGAGTGTGCCTGAAATAAGTGTCTCTGAGGCGCGGTGGTTGAGGAACCCTGCTTTGCATGAGAATCGCCAGTGCTAATTCTAGCAGTCAATGTATCATCCCATTAACAGGCTAACAGAAAATGAGGATTGAGCTATATTCCTTCAAATAACCAACATTCACACACAAATGCTGCTGGGGAACACATACAGACAAGCAATTTAACAATACTCATAGGCATATATGTTTTCTCAATCTGTGAAAAATGAATTCTAATATTAAAGCTCAAGAACAACTCTTCTTATCCTAATGTAAGCGTGTACTCTGTGCAGACACTGCACCACACCGCATAAGAATCGTATATCTGCACAGCACGGACAGCTGCTGTTGTTGTTTTTTTTTTTTTTTGCACAATTAGTTTAATATATTATTATTTTACTTTGTTACCAGTGTATTTGGTGCTTGTTCTTTCATGTTATATTATAAGTTGAGTTTTTGTAGTTGAGTTCACAAGCCCTTTTGATGACCCATGTGAATGCTCCGTAGTCTGTTTTATGTTTCTGATGCGTTGATTAGTTTAGCCTGGTTGAAATGTCAATGATAGTTTCAGTTTGAATGCCACTCCTTTTTGTTACCAAAAAAAAAAAAAAATGTGTGCCTGGTCACAACGTGAGGTTGGCTAAAACAGTTAATGCTGTGTTATCTTGCTCAAGGACATCTAACTTTACGTATGCTTTGGTCCACGACAGGTCTACAGAGCAGATTCTTGAGCATGATCTGAAATATCATCGCCAGTACCTTTCTTTATCCCCATGCTGATCACTTCCCTTATGGGTGTCTAGCAGAGTATTTCCGCAGTTGGCTGAGAAAATGAGCAGTGGGTTCTGATTATTTAAATAGCTGCGGTTGAAGGGGCCACTTAAATCAGCAGTTATTTTCTTAGAGGGCAAAAAAATCATTTTCAAATATGCAGCATGCGGGTTTGATTTAAGTTCGGGTCCTTGCTTCACATGCAAACAGTCTGTCCCATCAGAATTTATAACTTTTCAAAGAGCTGGTGTACAGCCCCACAAGACCATAAACTTCTGAATAAAATCGATTTGCTGTGAATGTGCTGGATATTTCAGAAGGCCCTGCCCCATCCTTTATGCTTTAATGAGATCTGTGATAGGTTGTGGATAAATCACCTTCCCCTACTCGGCGTCATTCTGACAATGTGCTGTGTACAAGTAGAGTTAAGAGGAGGTTGTGATTAAGTCAAGGTTATGTAGCAGGTACCAGCAGGTGGTGGTGCATGTCTGAAGCCGCCTGTCGTGAGTCTTGATTTATGAATCCACAGCAGGTCGTTAAGCAATAAAAGGGACAAAGATCTGCAGTCAATCCACCTGCACTTTGTGACCTGTGATATTTCATATTTGGCTATGGTATGCTCCTTGTAAATGGAAATGCAAAGCCATTCATCAATAGGTCCCGTCATTACAGGATATAAAGATGACGTCTTATTGGACCAGGAGTCAGCCACATTCTGCTGAGGTCATCATTCACGACCAGTCTTTAAAAGCTGGGAGGAGATATTGAACCGGCCATTAGGGACACTGAAATAAAAATGGTGTGCTGAATTTTTTCAGTTTCATTTTGTCAAGTGGTTCTACTACTCCACTTAAAAAATGTATTTGGAACTAAATACTTTTATTTCGTTTGATGAAATAAAATTGAGTAAATCGTTGCTTTCCTGTGAAAAACGTCAATTTTTTTGTCATAATTCTTTTTTTTTTTTTTTTACATTAATGGGGTTTCCGCGTTTCGGACATCAGAATACAACGGAAAATGGGAGATTATTTCAAAGAGAGGGACTGGCGACGGAAAAGGCTCTATCCCCTCTGACCCTCTGCTACCTCGAGTAGCATCTGCTACGCTAACAATGTAAAGGTGCGCAGGTGTGGAGGGGCTCAGAGAGGTAATGTGGGGTGAGACTATTTAAAGATTTGAAAACAATAACAAGTATCTTAAAATGAACACTAAAATGTACAGGGAGCCAATGAAGGGATGCCAGAGTTGGAGTTATGTACTCCTTCTTACGAGCACCAGGTAGAAAGTGAAGAGCTGCATTTTGGACCAACTGGCGACGCTTGAGGGAGGACTGGCTGACTACAAAATAAAGTATGTACATGATAAAAGAACTCAAAAGAACAATGCACTGACACAATATAATACATTTCCCCACATCACTGTAAAAGTTACAATCCTTCCAAGAAGTTAGCTATACGTATTTGGCTTCTTGGTAAAATGTAAGAATGCACTGTATTTGAACTGCACTACGGTGGCTGTATTAAGGAGCAGACACGACTGACTTTCGTCTTTATTTGCTACTGCCAACAAATGAATCTCAACAACTGCAACATTGTGCCCAAAACATTCATAGAAACACGCCTCCAACTGCACGCCTGTTGGGTGAGAGGCATGGTCCTAATGCCTGCCAATCCTTCAGAAGTGAACTTAAAATGACTTTCTCCAAACCTTTGAATGCACGAGTCTAACTGCTCAACGCCCTTGTTACAGAATAGCATGCTGTGCAAAA